TTAAATGAAAAACTATTTTGTTCTCTAAGTCTTCATCTTAAGTGAGAATAACAGCACAATTGGAAGAGCGTAGTCAATGTCACTGAACTGTGCATGTAGAAATTTTTTAAATGATGTTATCTTTTGGCTATGTGTATTTTCACCAAAAAAAAAAAGGTTGAGAAGTTACAGGGTTGACATGTTGTGGGGTTTTTAACCAATGTCATAAAACAATATTTGTACTACTGTTTCATGAGAAACTATTTGTTCTGTAAGCCTTCACCTGAAGTACAACAAAAAAAAAATAACAAATTAAAACTATAGTAGGACTTGTGGAATGTATATGCAGACATTTAGGTGCCAAAAGATAAATAAATAAAAAGGATCTTTATAACTGCAATAGACAACAATCACTATGAGTTCTTAAGCACAGGAGGAACACATCAAGAGAGGGAATTTTCGGGAAGACGAATTTATCAGTAGGGTGAAGGGTAGTTTACATCAGAATGAGATTTAAAAAAAAAAAAAAAAAAAAGTCTGACAGGCCAGTGACTACTTATTTCCATCAAGAGACCTTGGTATCTTCCTGTATTTCTCCCATCGACCTGAGATCTGTGGTACACCAACTTCTTGCCAAGTAAAAAGCCCAAACAATTTGAAAGTCTTTCAAACAAATCTATTTTAAAAAGCTAACATTTTTAAAGCATTCGATAGGTCTGCATCTGTCCTCCAAAAAACCAAACCCGTTGCCATCAAGTCAATTCCGACTCATAGAGACCCTATAGGACAGAGGAGAATTGTCCCATCGGGTTTCCAAGGAGCAGCTGGTGGATTTGAACTGTAGACCTTTTGGTTAGCAGCCAAGGTCTTAACCACTTTGCCACCAGGGCTCCTCATATCTATCTAGCTATGCTTAATTTCAGCAAATATATATATAACCTGGAATAACTGAAATATACTACTGAAATTAAAATTATTTCATATTAATAATACCTAAATACATGGCAGTTTTAAAACTGTGTAATTTGCTTATAAATAATATTTATCTTTGTATGCCTATGTTACAATTTTAGATTATAAATTTGTTAAAAGGAGTTTGGGTGGCACAGTGGTTAAACATGAGGTTGCTAACCAAAGGGTCCATGGCTGGAACCCACCAGCCGCTCTATGAGAGAAAGATGTGGCAGTCTGCTTTTGTAAAGAATTATAGCTTAGAAACCCTATGGGGCAGTCCTACTGTCCCATAAACTCGCTATGAGCTGGAATCGACTTGATGGCAACAGGTTTGGTTTTGGGTTTATCTTTGTTAAGTGTTTTGGAGTGGATTTAAAAACAACAACAACAAAAAAAAAAGGTAACATTTGACATCCCAGATAGCAGTGCAGTTTGCTTCCAAAATGCCACAAGTGAAAAGCACGTGACACATGCTTTTTATCTGTGATGATGCAAAGTGTGAGGTCTATTTGCCTCCAACATTTATGACTGATAATAGGAAGCCATCAGTGTTATTCTCCCTTTTTGCAGATGTAAAAAGCCCAATGTCTTCATATTTCTTCCTCATGACGAAGGAATTCCAATGTATGTCCTGAGGGCAGGACTTGTTCTGATGTTTACACAGATTACATTCCTTAAGATTCTCCTGAGTGCAAGGTTTTCTGCAAACTTTTTTTTTTTTTTTCTATTTGCACATCTCTCTTTACTGTGGCCAAATTTAGTCTTTGGCGTGAACTCTCTAAACATGCTGTTCCAACTGCAATTTGCTCCTTCAGCAGCTACATCTGAGCTCTGCTATGTCTCTACTTTCTCTGAAAGCCTCAGGATGGGCTGACCTGTTGCTGTCACTCCTCCCTGCCTCAGAAAATTCTTCCCTGCCTCCTCATACTGCTCAGGTCAGATCGCCCTCATACACTCACACATCACCCTCTACCTTCCCAGTATAACATGTTCCAGTTACAGTAATTTGTCACGATTTTTTTTTACTTTAATTTTTTTTATTGTGCATTAGGTGAAAGTTTACAGCTCAAGTGAATTTCTCATACACAAGCTTATACACATATTGTTATGTGACATTAGTTGCAATCCCTAAAATGTAACAGTACACTCCCCCTTTCCACCCTGGGTTCCTTGTGTCCATTCAACCAGTTCCTGTCCCTTCCTGCCTTCTCATCATGCCTCCTGACAGGAGCTGCCCATTTGGTCTCGTGTATCTGCTTGAACCGAGAAGCACACTCTTCACGGGTATTATTTTATGTTCTATAGTCCAGCTTAATATTTGCCTGAAGAGTGGGCTTCAGGCATGGTTTTAGTTCTGGGTTAACAAAGCATCAGGGGCCATGGCTTCGAGGGTCTGGGCTATGCTATTTTCTACACGATATGTCTCTTAAATAGACAGGTGCCTGTCCTGTTCACTTCTGTGTTCTTAAAGTCTAGCACTGGGCATGACATACCAGCACATCTTCAAGTTCAAAAATTGGTCCTTAGTGCCACAGAGTAACTGGGACACAGCTTGACTGGAAAAAAGTTATATAGTCAAATACTCCCTTACTTAAAAAATAAATCATCAATTTGCCTAAATCCACATCAACCATTTTATACTTAGATTCTATTTCATAATAAACTTTCTCTGCAGGATGAATAGTCTAGAAAAATTCCAGGTATTAAAATAGTGTCACTATTGTCTTTAAAGCAAACTAAATTTTCTCAAAATTACTCAGATATTTGCTACTTTTCCCAAGAAAATTAACTAAAAGAGAATACATCATAAATCGACCAAATTAAATAACCAATCTCTTTAGAATAAGATGTATTCTTATTTTATATTTGTATTAACTAAATTTGGTATTAGAGTCCTTTATTTTGAAGACTGTACAGAAAATTTTTAAATCATAAGACCAGTTTAGTATCAACAATTTACATATGGAAGAAAATAAGTCCTCTGTTTTTGCTATCAACAATATTTATATAAATGGTCCGTGGGTGGTGCAAACAGTTAAGTACTCAACTATTAGCCAAAAGGTTGGCGGTTCAAACCCAATCAGAGGCACCTTGAAAGAGAGGCAGGGCTTCAGAAAGATCAAAGTTGAATATCCTATGCGGCAGTACTACTTTGCACACGTGGGGCCACCATGAATTGGTATGGACTCAATAGCAACTAACAACAACATTTAAATAAAAACAATTGGAATATCATAGAGAAGGTAGATTGTGTGGCAACTAGGGAGAACAAAAAAAGAATAGAGACAAGTTTCTGTTAGGAGAAGCCTCTTGATATGCACAGTACTTTAAGAGTCTCTTTCCATTTTCTTTTTGAAGCCCTTTTAAAACGTATAGAAAGTCACAGAAGGAAAGCAGGGGGGAAAATGCACTTTTAATATAGAGTTTTCAAAAATTATCAACAGCAGTCTCATCTGACACGGCTCTCTAGGGGCAAAGAAAGAATGCCTAAGTGTTTTCGATCAGTTTCACTAGTGTTTCAATATTTAAGTATTAGTATTTTAATATGGATGTTTACATATTTTTAAATGAGTATTTTTCTCAAAATTCTTCCAGATTACATATGTAGCCATATTACAATGTTTACTGAAAAAAAGTAAAACTTTCATTCTACATAAATTTAAGATTCAAATGGTTTTCCAAGTCAGAGCAACTAATTAAAGGATGAGAAAATGCACTGTATCAAGCAGGAATCGCTGGTATGTGTTACAAAATTCTATCTAGGTTTTAAGGCAACAGAGGATGCGGTTTATTTCATGAATACATGGAACAGACAACTACAAGTTTTTAATGTCTGTCCTAAACAATTATAAGGGGATGGTCCCTCTTCTTAGTATTAGAATTCTGCAAAACAGAGACTTCACAAATAGCATGGAGTGATAAAAGATGGTCTCTTTGTTTTACCTGGTTTAATTTATTTATTTAAATTAAGAGAACAAAGTTAGGCACTGGATCAACTCTTAAGTTCTTATAGTGACTAGAGTGGTTTTATCTCTTTTAAAAGTTAATATTATTTATGATTGAGCGATGATTACTGAATAGGGAAAATAACAGACACACTTACCTGAACTTAAAGTGTGTTCATAATGGTGAATCAGCACTTGAGAAAAATTTTAAGACAGGAAAAAGCGCAGAACTGCACTATCCAAGTTACTTAAATTAAGCATACAAAATCTATCAATCTGGTCAGAGTCAGAGGGCAAAAGTACAACATGCAAAACCCATGGAAACTGGTTTTGGTACCACCAGGTTCCCGGACAGATGCTAGTTGATAAATAACACGGTGCTGGAACGCAACAGCTAACCTGCATCTGTCTTTAAAAATATACTAAATTGAAGAGTTTCTGATTAGCCAAAGAGATAACAGATACCCATACGCAAATAACCATAGTATGTTAAAACATTCAGGATAACGTTTTCAACCCAAAACCACCCAGGGGGCTATTTTTACGTTCTCTAAATTAACTTATTTAAAACAGAAGAGCAATAATAAAATTAGTGTCAGAAGAAACTTGTCCTCAGCGGCGTGTGTCAGTCTGGAGCCAGCATTTCAAGTCGCCGGGCCCTATTCTGGCAAGGACGCCCCGCCAGGTGTTCCATCCGTGATTACCTCGGGCTGAGCCGTCCGCAGGCACCCTCCGTCCTCCGGTCCTCGGCCTCCGCGGCTCCCCAAGGTGGCCCTTCCCCTCGCGCCTGAGGCCCCGCAGGCGGAGGCGGTGGGTGACTCGGGCTCGTCCGGGAGCGCAGGCACCGCGGGACAGGCGCAGACGGCGCCCCGACAACTCCCGCGCTCGCCTCCGACGCAAACCGCTGCCCCAAGACCCGCCTGGCCGCGCCGCCACCGCTCTCACGCCATCTCCTCGCTCCCGGCCCGCGCGCACACGTCGTAGTGAGGTCCGGGCGTGGAAGCTTAAGTGCGGAAGGCTGGCGAGAGCAAGGAACACCTGCATCAGAGATACCGCGAGAGTCCCGCCCGGCTGGCGGGTTCGGACGGCCGCTCTGGGTGGGGTTGGTGGCGGCTGCCAAAGATGCGCTGGGGTCGCTCCACTTGGGTAGCGGATCGCAGCCTTCGAGGTAGCACAAGGCGGGTGGCTGTACCCAACACTTCAAAGTCGGGCACAGTCACAAACAAGGACGTTTACTCCGCACTCTTAGGAAGATGGGTGGGAAGGGAGCCCTATACTTAATAACGATATTAATTATTAACGACTCCGGCGCTTGGCCTCGTCAGTAATTTATCTGTAATCACAGCTTCATTGACCTTCACTGTCTTCCTGGAGTTCCGTTTACTTTCCGTAAGCGCACTTATTGGACAGACCCAGAGGTCCTCAATAAATAGGACTGAGACTGTAAATCTGCAGATTCAGCACAATACTCCTGCGCAGAATAGGTCTAGGCAGACGTTTTTTTGAATAAATGAAAGAATGAACGAACTGATGCAAGGTAGTAAACTAGGAATTTTCCTCTATTCTTCAGCTTCCTGAAAGGCCATGTGTTCCAGACTCTAGAAGACGAATGGGAGACCCAGAGCCCCATTAAGGCACGTGAGGGCTCTAAACACTGATAGTCTGTGGTGCCCCCTCCTCTGCTTACTCATGCATTCAAGGGAATGTGCGAGTTATATATATATATATATATATATATATATATATATATATATATATATAGTGTATATGTATGTATGTATAGGAGCCTTGGTGGCACAGTGGTTACGAGCTTAGCTACTAATTAAAAGGTCGGCAGTTTGAACCTACTACCAGTTTTGCACGAGAAAGATGTGGCAGTTGGCTTCCGTAAAAATTACAGCCTTAGAAACCCTATGGGGCAGTTCTACTCTGTCCTATAGGATCTCTAGGGGTCGGAATCTACTGGAGGGCAATGGGTGTGGTTTGCTTATATACGTATACACATATATATATGTACACACACACATATATATGTACACACATACATATATGTAGAAATAGATATATATGTGCACACACATATATGTACACACACATATGTACACACACACATATATGTGCACACACATCTTAGCTATCCATAATGTACCTTCTTTTTATTTTTTTTACTTCCCTTCCCCCACCCCAGGATGCATTTTGGTTTTGACATGAAAGAATGGGTCCCTCCAGGTAATCTTGTAGTCCAGGAGACAGGCTCATTCAAATCCACCAGGAAGGTGGGGTAAAATACGGAACAGGTGAGGGGACTGTTCCCGAAGGCCCTCCAGAAAGTAGTGTGCTTGGGGAGCCAGACAGACAGAGCAGTGGGGGTTGTACTGAGGTTTTGCCTTTGGGAATATGAGAACCCTTATTCCCACAATAAAGAGCTAATTATAACACGGCGGTTGCCCTTTTCTGTTCTGTAGCATCGAAGAATGAAGAAATCCCTGTTGGTTTCTGGAATGACAAAGCAGCTAAAGTGCCTCTATGTGGAGTCAGGTGGGTGCCCCCAGTTGTATGGAAGGCGGCTGTGGAGAGACTACACAAGACTTTCACCAGGGAGCACCCCAGCCCCCTCATCTGTGTCCCTTGCTGCTCCCTGCTGGGGCCAGTCACTGGATGTGTCACCAGTGTGCTTCCTTTGGGCACTCCATTCCTGTCCCCTCCCTGCCATCTCCAAGCCTGCTGCCAGCTGCTGTGTCAGGGCTGCTTCTACTGCTGTCCCTCAGCTGGACCCACCTGGTGGCCTCTAACCCAGACCCCAGAGGTCACAGCCAGAGAATATCCAGAGCCAAAGCTGAAGCCCACAGATCAGCTTTTGCCCTTAGAGGCTTCTAAAGAGGAGGAGGTAGCAGAGCATGCGCACATGGATGTTTCTGCTTCCTCCTCCTCCTCTTCTGCAGAAGATTTGGAGAATGATCTGGAGATCGGCCCTCCCCAAAGACTGACGGTGAATAGCACAGTCAACACAGACTTCAACCTTCTTCAAAATTCTCCATGGCAGAGTGGCCTCTGCAAGCCAGGATGGAGGTATTGGAGGAGAAATGGCCCAGAGTCTCATCCTAGGAAGCCAGGGTTCTCTGCTAGGGCAGTAGTTGAGGCCCACTGCTCCATTCCTTACCATATATCTCTTAGAAATGTGATGCAGGTTTCCACTATGTTGGGATTGGAAGTAATTCTTTGGAGTGTGGTCATGTTGAAGGGGTGGCTGTGATAAGAGGGAAATGCTAGATTTCCATTTAAGCAAGAAAGAACAGGCTGACTTTTGTGCAAAAGTTTGCATCTCTGTTTAATACTTGTCTTTTCTTTCTTTACTGGTCTTTACTGACAGGGCACCGCCATTGTCTATTTTTGCCACTCTCCAACTTTTTTTTCCTTGAAGGACTTGATTTTTCTCTAGATGAATTGTCAAAATGCCTCCAGGTATTGATTAGGGTGGTCAATTCCCTGAAAAGCACAGAAACCTGTGGGTAAACACTGGTCATCAGGCCCCTCTTCCTAGAAGAGCCCTTAGTTAGAATGGGAAAGACCAGGGCACTACATATGCTGCTGATTCTTCCCAACTAGTAGGGAAGCAGTGTTTAAATTGTTGTTGTCTTCTGCAGTCGTATCCATACGTCTTTACCTTGATCTAAGAACTGTGTGACATCCCCTGGAGGTCTGAGGAGCAGCATATCATTGGTCTGCCTCACAACCACCCTATCTAAATTCCTAAGAAAACCAAAAGAGAGCAGAAGCTTAAGTCAGCCGGCAGAGCTATGTGAAGAGGTGGTCTGGATAGGCTAGGCCTTAGGCTAGATCTCTTGGGGCCCTGAGATGACTGATTTAAAGCCCAGTGGGGGTGGTACCTGGGGCAAGGATACTTTGAGGGTTAAGGAATACCATCTGCTAAGGTCTTAAGCATCCCCAGACACTGTGGGTCCCTGTTTGAAGCTGTCCTATTTCCAGGACAGCTGCTTACCAGGAAGAACCTCTCATCCCACAAGGATTTCAATCCTGCCTCAGGGGTAAGGACTTTATTAATCTTCAGTTCTAGAAAACTAAGAAATTGTTTCTACAATGGGAAGCTTTCTTGAGTGACTCTTTTGGACCCCTGTGCTTTGGAATAGGTGGGGATGTATCAATATAAGTTTGCTTTTGTATTTTTTTTCCAAAGTGAGTCCCAACTTTATTTAGCCTTTTCCTCTGAAGAGAATGAGGCATTTATTAATTATTATTTATTATTATTATTTTTTAAAGAGAGAATTTACTCAAAAGAAATATTGTAATTAGGGGACAAGGACTATTGCAATGTGGAGAATACTCCCGCCATAGAACGTAGTATCTGTAAGCAGCTCAAAGGTCAGGCAAAAGTGGGCTTTTATAGGGAACTGTAAGCAAGGCTATAAACAGCCAGATGTGGGGGAGTAGGATGAGGGGATGTAGTAAACTGACAGCTGATCAAGGAATGTTTTTCCGTGAGGTCAGGGAGGGGCCCTTAAGGAGGGCTTGTTCTTTTTTTTCTTTTCCTTTTTTTTTTATTGTGATTTAGGCGAAAGTTTACAGAGCAAATTAGTTTCTCATTAAACAGTCAATACACAAATTGTTTTGTGATATTGGTTGCCAAACCCACACTGTGTCAACACTCTCTCCTTCTCCACCCCAGTTTCCCTGTTTCCATTAATTCAGTTTCCCTGTCCCTTCCTGCCTTCTCGGCTTTGCTTTTGGTCTGGTGTGCCCTTAGTCTCAGATACATGACTGGTCTAGGAAGCAAGTCTCTCACATGTGTTACTGTTGGCCCTATAGACCTGTCTAGTATTTGGCTGAAGGGTGAACCTCAAGAGTGACTTCAGTACTGAGTGTATCTTCTTTTTAAATGTAACTATAATATTAGCAATTGAACGAAAAGTGGAGTATGCCATTTTAGCAGAATGAAATGAACTAAATTATAAAAGTTTGGTAGATGCGAAGTACTGAGATTTTTACTGTATACCACATTGTCTACAAAAAAGAATATTCCACATATTCTATAACAAAGAAAATGAATCATTAAATTTACTTGATCCAACAATCAATGTAAAATTCTGTTGATCTCCCACAAAGAAAAACTTTCAACAATTTTGCTTTAAATGGCTCATACTTCAATTTTGATGCTTATTTTGTAATAAAATTATAAAAATAAATGCTATAATTATAAATGACCAAATGAAAGATGTTATAAAACAAAATGTAATGATCAGAAAACAAACATTATAACAAATTACTATATTTTCTTTTTAGATAGATCTTTCATCTCTAACACATTATTATTAAATACATTTCTTTCTATTCTTTACTGTTACAAATTCTTCAGTGATTTCATCACAATTAAGCTGCTGAACAATATCTACTTCCATAAGGAAAATGAATCATTGAATCGTTGTACACTGAGGGTTTTTGAGACTCTTTAGTGACAAAAATGAGCATTCTATTGCACAGTTTGTGATCATTAAAGTTAGGAATATGTGTAAAGCAATTTCAACATTGGGAAATATGCATTGTATTTTGTCTTCTATTATGGAGTCATACATGCCTACATGAGTAAAATTTGTCTTCCCTAAATCTGTAAACTTAGTTCTCAGGTAAGAATGAAATTGTCACACTTCTCCATAAAAGATTTGTATTTAAATCATCAGGATAAGCCTGAACTAATTTCTTGAATGCCTTCATGCATTATTCATCAGATGTATCCACATTGTTTAAGAAGGAAAATCTTAAAACCTTCATATACTTTTGCCCTTCTTTTCATGCAAGTTTCAAGTGTGTCAATGATGGTGTAGTACGTGGTTACAGGAAATTGATCGCCGGCACTCAGTGATACTTCTGGATCACTTCTGTCATTTATTTGTTTCTTTCTAATGTTTCTGCAATAGTGAACTGCTTGATAATCAGAATTTGACAGTATTTATTTTGTTATGTTTTCAAAATTTCCTCTTAAATTATGTAAACATTCTGTTAATGACTGATAGTTTTCTGTGCATATCTATAAATTTACGTCTGAATCTTGGAGAGCTTGACTGGTCTGATAAAAATGTGCAGTATATTATTCTACGTGTTGTTGTTGTTAGATGCCATCCTGTCGGTTCCAACTCATAGTTAAGCTATGTACAACAGAACGAAACACATCTTGGGCCTGCACCAGCCTCACAGAAATTATACTTTTTATCATATGCAAAATGTATAGAATGATGTCAGTTTCATTTAGTGCCCTGCCAGTTCCCTTCCACTGCGATGCTCACTTTTCCTTGTGTCCTGTCTACTTGGCATTTGTGAGTCTTTACTTTAGACAATTTTTTTACCCCTGTTTTGTTGATGCCCTAGGCACGTGTTTACTTTGTTTATTGAGTAACCTGACCCTGGGGAGACAGTAATTAAAATAATATTTTTGGACATAAAAGTGTATGGTTTTGCTGTCCAAACTAGTGTTTGATTGTTGTCGTTGTTATCATTGGGTGCCATCCAGTCAATTTTCAACTCATTGTGACCCCATGTGACAGAACAGAATTGATCTATAGGGTTGTCTAGGCTGGAAACTCTATGGGGCAGTTCTACTCTGTCTTATAGGGTCACTATGAGTCAGAATCGGCTCCACGGCAACAGGGTATTTTTAATCTTTATGGGAGGAGTCCTGGTGGCACAGTGGTTAAAGCTCTCATCTGCTAACCGAAAGGTCAGCATTTGGAACCCATCAGCCAATCCGGGAGAAAGATGTGGCAGTCTGCTTCCATAAAGATTTACTGCTTTTGAAACCCTATTCAGCATTTCTACTGTGTCCTATAGGATGTCTGTATGCCAGAATAGATTTAATGGCGGTCTTTTGTTTTGTTTTTTTTAAACTTTAAGGGCACAGATGGCCAGGTCTTTATCCCATGGGGCCTCTTAGTGGATTCAAACTGCCAACCTCTTTGTTAGCAGCTAGCACTTAACCATTGTGCCACTGATGCTCCTAGTGTTTGATAAGGGATCTCTAATTGCTTTGTTTGTTGTTGTTTTTAATTTACATTTTTTCCCCAGTAACACAGAGCATGTAAAGATTTAGTAAATAGGCATCTACTAATTTTAAATCGTTTTGGATATTTGCAAATTTGTGGTCCAGCACTCCCTCCCCTCAAAAGCAACTGTATCCCAATTTTGCTTTTAACAAAAAATCATCCCCCACTCCTGGCCCATTCAGGTGTTCCTAATACCTGCCCTGACTCCATGGGTACACATGCCAGTGGAAGCATCTTGTTTTGCTGGTGAAAGGGACTGTTTCAGAGACAAGCAGATTTCCAAGGTCAGGCCGATCAGAGACAAAAATACAGTTTCATGGTTCTGGAACTGTGTTACCCTTCTGTTGTGGTTGAATTATGTTTGCCAAAAAGATATGTTCAAGTCCTAATTCCTGGTGCTTGCAAATGTGATTTATTTGGAAATAGGGTTTTCATAGATGTAATCAAGTTAAGATGAGATTAAGTAAGGATTATAGTAAGCCCTCATCCAATGACTAGTATCCTTATAAGAAGAGGGAAATATGGACATAGAGACACAGACACAGATCGAAGGGTCCTATATGATGATGGAGGCAGAGATTGGAGTGAAGCATCTATAAACCAAGGAATATCAAGAAATCCTGGAAGCTGGCCAGAAGCTAGAAATGGGTTGAACTCTGTGAGGGAAGACACAGCCAGGGTATATGGAAGAGCATCTCTTCTAAACCATTGTAGTGCTCATGTCCCACTGGATCAGTTAGATAAAAAAAAAAAAAGAAGTCTCATTAGTTAAACAACACTTCCTAGCTCTGTTGTGGCTAATATGTTCAATTACCTCATTAATGTAAATAATCTCATAATCACTCAGCTAAGCTTCTTGAATTACAAACTGTAGGACTCTGGTTGAATTAAATTACTAATTAAGAAAATATATCAGTAGTGGCTGACTGGACTTGAACATCATTCATGACTATTATTTCAAGATTGGGAAGAATTCTCAATATTTCCAAAGTTTTGAAAAATGCATTCCTTTTTGGAGATTGCAACTTCTGAGAGAATGCACAAAATTTCTTGAAACAACTTAACCAATTTGTGCCATATATCATCTGCAATTTCATCTGTTAACAGCATAAACTTCAAACAAAAACATATTTTCCAGAAACATGCTGACTATCTTAACTTTGTTGATTAATATAAGATAGTAGAAAGAAAGCAGAAAGAAAAA